CTCACTACAAATTAAAGAGCGTAAAAAGATGTTTATTGTTTGTATTTTATCATAAAATTGACAGAAGGCTGAGACTTTGTATTAACAAAGCACAAAGCTGCGATTATTGAGTGGCTTGCGTGCTACAAATAATGGACTTAAACTTTAAACATTTCCAAGCATTAGCCTATACCGTAAATAAAACCGCTTGTGAATAGTCATGATTCACGTAATGTTATTTACTTCAGAAAAATCAACAATAGGGCCTAAGTTAACAGAGTTGGAGCCCATAACGTTTGGGGGGCCGTACACATTTTTTTGCATATGGGCCCGGGGCTGACTCGTTTCGCCACGGTCTCCCTACGACTGTGATCATAAGGCTTCAGTAGATATCAACACATGAACAATGGGCTACTATATGAGATACAGCCTTATTTTAATAGACATAATTTGAAAATGAAAATGTGTCAAACTGGGTAGACCAGTTTCAAAACATTTTCAAATAGGCCTATGTATAAACATTTATTAATCATTTATCAATATATAGGCTCTTAATATGAACATGTAGAGTAGCCTACAACAAACTGCTCTTGTAATAAGCAGCTGTATGACATGAAAAAACAAAAAACAAAACCTGAACTCTGAAATAATAGACATCTGCTGATCATACAATTATCTAGTTTTCAGAAATGAGGTCAAGCAGCTGTATGACATGAAAAAACAAATCTATCTATCTAAACTCTGAAATAATAGACATCTGCTGATCATACAATTATCTAGTTTCCAGAAATGAGGTCTACTGTATAGTGAATTATTTTTTTCTTTAGAGATGTGTTGTATTAACTATTACCAGTAAGTTCATATTTGCTCCGATTAACATTAGCCTATATTATATTGCATTTTATTTAAACTATAACTGTGAATATATTTGGACGCTCCATGTTAGTCACTGAATAGGCTTTCATGATTTTCAGTTGATTTTTAGGTGATATTGCTTAAAGTGAATTGAGTGCTCAAAGAAAAAAAACCTAAATTATTTATGCTGTTTATTTTATTATCAAAGCCTATGTGATAACATAACCTGAGGCTAAAAGCTGTGATATTAATGTTGTCCACTAGAGAGAGCCACAGGATAAGGAATAGGCCTATTTGAAGTTTATTTTGAAAAATTAATTTCCACACTTTTGAACAGAAATAAATGTGTATATAACAATTTCATTTAACTATGTACTGACAGTATAGTTCTATATAATCGGTGTACATTGCTTATCCCAAAGATTTTCCAATTGTTTAAATTTTCCTAAATGCTGTCTTAGTTTTTCTCGATTACTAACACACAATTCACCACTTTGTCACAACTATAAACACATTCTCGTGACAAACAAACTTGTACAAACTTCCATGTCAAAATCCCTTACTTCTATCAATATCAAACTTTGGCCTCAGATGGCGAAACCTACAGTACAAATACACAGACAACTTCCCTGCCCAGTGAACACTAGTGAGATCAATTCAGAACACTGTAACAAAAACCTCTTATTGGGATTCAG